GGAAAATAAGTTCAGGGACACAATAACTGACTGAATGTCAATCACTGAGAGTGAGGACAGTGTTAACACATCAGTTCTCCAGGAAGCCTTCCTTAGCACCTTCAGTTCTATTACCTTTGGGTCCCCAACTTGAATGTTGTGATAACAGCTCTCACAGTTGTAGTTATATTAATAGTTGGGTGATTGTGGGGTTTTTTTGTTTTTACTTTTTTATGTTGGTCCTTGAGACTACGATCTTACTTGTTTTATGGCTGTTTTCCTGTTGCCTAAGCATAGGGAGGTCTTTGAGGTCTCAAACAATTTTCATAAAACTTAGCTGTTACTTACCTTCTCACAAGTGTGCAAAGGCTACATGATATGTGATGAGAGATCATCAGTGATGTTAGCTAGTTGAACAGGGCTGTATATTGAATTTTCTAAGGTGGTCGGTTTTTAGGTTATACTTTCTGTAATCCCAGCAACCCTCAATATTATGCCGTTGTTAATATAAAATCCTGTCATTGTCTTTGTGCCTAAGGATAATAAGGTACATCCTGTTGTCTTGTTAAGCAGTAATGCTTTAAATACTTGCTCAAGCCCTGGCTAGTTTGGCTCAGTGGTTAGAGCGTTGGCCCGCGGACCAGAGAGTCCCGGGTTCGGTTTCTGCTGGGGGCACGTACCTCAGTTGCAGTTTATCTCTGGCCCTATGGGGTTTTGTGGGTGGCAGCCAGTCTATGTCTCTCTCACATCGATGTTTTGCTCTCTCTTCCTCCCTCTCTCTCTCCTGCTCTATCTGAAGATAAATGCAAAAATGTCCTCAGGTGAGGTTAATAAAAAAAAAATTTGCTCAAAACTTGTAAATTTTTAAATTTAATTACAACTTATAGAATTTAATGGAAAATAAACCAATTTATATTTTTCTTGAGATGGATCATTGACTTAAGAAAGATGATAAGATTACTTGTTAAACCCACAACTTATGTTTAAAAATGCTAAAAAGATGAATTTGATATTGCAGAGTTCTCTTATAGGAAGAATTCAACCTCAAAAAAAATTGTTAAAAAAGCTACTGAAATAAGTTACTGTATAACATTGGCTGGGGAAACATACATAACAGCTAAGAAACTTGACAAAAAGCCATATACATTTGACACTGCTGAATGCTGGCTGAAAGGTAAAAAGTCATGGTAGTGCTGCCTTTTTTTTAATCCTCGCCCAAGGATATTTTTCCATTTATCCTCAGATAGAGTGGGAGGCGGGGAGAGAGACATTGATTCATTGCCTCCTGCACAACCCTGACCAGGGCTGGAAACTGAACTGCAACCAAGGTATGTGCCCTTGACCGGAATCAAACCCGTGACTCTCTGGTCCATGGGCTGACGCTCTAACCGCTCTGGTAGTGCTGCTTTTTAACAGTAACCTGTCATATTAAAGATTTGTGTGCAGACGTGAGATCTGTGTTGATATCTTTGTAGAAGTGTACTTAAGCCTTGAAAAATGGATAAATCAACAAATGTGGCTAGGCTTGTTGTTTTGCTTATACATAGTGGGGTAAAAGTAGGTCTATAATTCACCTTGGCCGGTTTGGCTCAGCAATTGGAGCGTTGGCCTGTGGACCAGAGTCTTGGGTTCGGTTCCCGCTAGGAGCACATACCAAAAAAAAAAGTAGGTCTATAGTTCATATGGAAAAATACAATAATAAATAATAATACAAGAATAAACTCTGTTTTGTGAACTCACAACTGTAAACCTAATTTTGCCCATCCTGTGTTTGTCCAGTGTCAGCATCAACCAGAGAGACTCTTAAGTGAAAGCTTGGCAACAAACAGAATATGTCCTGAAATAGTCAAAATGTAGAATAACTTTAAAATCTCATGGTATGTCCAGATATTTTCACAAATGGTGAAAAGGCAAAGGTGGGTAAAACTCAACACCTTGGCATAAATCAAGGCAGTGACATTGAGTGATGAAATGGAAAATTTGCCTATAGAACTTCTGCTACATGCTAAAGTACAATGGTTTCAAGAAAAAGCACTCATACATTTGAATTGCAAGCTGAATTTAGGTACTGTTTTCTTGGAACACCATTTTTACTTGGAAAGAATATCAAATTTTGGTTGTCAGAGTTGGCTATTTGGCAGACATTTTTTGGAATATAAAGTGAGCCTTTCAAGGGAAACAACTGACTGCTGTTGTCAATGATAAAATTCAAACTTTGAAGTGAAAATAACAATTTTGGGAAAGCGTGGATCCACTGTCAGGGACCTGACATCTTTCTAGTACTTATTGTTTTATGAGATAGGTAGTGACATTAATATAATTTTTAGATATTATATATAATGAACTGGGTTAACAATTGGGAGATTTATATTACTAAGTAAACCAAAGTTTCCAAATGACCAACACATGAAATTACAAAAGTAAATAAATAAAATATCTCAACCAATTGAATGCAGAAAGATAAAAATTCCGCTGCCTTCTTATAAGACATTTGAGAGAACTGAATTGCAAAAAATGTAAAATAATCCACTCTGAAAATAGTTACTTCCATGAAAATTTTAATGTAATAATGCATTTTCTGCCTTTATTTATTTATTTTTATTATGGTTTTTTTTGGTGGTTTGTGCCCCTAGCAGGAACCGAACCTGGGACTCCCTGGTCCACAGGCCGACGCTCATCTGCTGAGCCAAACTGGCCAGGACCTTTTAAAAAAAAATTTTAATATGGTAAAATGACGGTAAACAAAGCAATTTGGGACCCTGTTTTTATTTATTTTTTAATCCTCACCCGAGGGCACTCCTCTATATTTTGTTCAGATAGAGTGGGAGGGAGAGAGAGAAACATTGACGTGAAAGGGACACATTGAGTGGTTGCCACCCTCACGACCCAACCAGGGCTGGGACAAACTGCAGCCAAGGTACATACCCTCAGCGGGAACCGAACCCAGGTCTCTCTGGACCACAGGCCGACATACTAACCGCTGAGCAAACCAGCCAGCACGGCACCCTCAGTTTTTAAAAAGGGGTTCTGAGACAGCTGCTTTAAGGATAATGTAAACACTCAAATGTCTAGAATAACTGGACTGAATTTAAAAAATAACTCCAGTATTAAGGCTGGATTACTGGGAGAATGGGTATGCTCGGACATAGTAGGTTTTAGTGGAAAAAGGTATGTTCATGTTGAGTTTGAAATGGGACAAACAAGGATAATCGGGCAGTTGGAAATTTAGAATTTGATCTTGAGTAAAACTAAAATACCATTTTCCTGTCCAGTGAAAATTGCTTTTATCATTGAATAGATATATAAACATCTATCTATCTATCCATCTATATATATAATCAAATAGCTACAACTTCACAACTGATTAACAAACATTTTAGCTTTCATGCAAAATGATACTTTCTTCACACTGCACATTTTAAAAATTTGGTATAGGACAATGGAGTGAAAGGGGGGGCATGCCTATAATATTTCAACAATAAAGATTAAAAAGTCTTATGTTCCAAACCATTTAAAAATTTTTTTGGTATAGAAGACCTGGATATGTTTGTCTTTTTTAGAAATGTATCTAGGTACAATAATTAAATGTGATTCTGTTTTCTCACAGAATTTTCAAACTTTTACAAATCCCCATTGAAATTCCAACATAACATCTCACCTGGAAATTTTGGAAAAGGCTATGCTGCGACTAAGGATCTTGTACTTTTTCTATGCCTATCTCACTGCTTTATTTTACTTTAGGTACTCTTCAGGCCTTTTAAAATACCTCTCTTTTTTTCAGTCTTCAGGTTATCTTTTGGTTCTTTTATAGGAGACCTGAGCTATTTCTGACACTGATATACTAGAATCTAGAGTTTTGGCAGTTTCCAGAAAGTCTTTTAACTACTTTCTTGCCATAAGTAGGATGTCAGTCTCTGGGAGATAACCATCTTCCTATTATCTAATTTGTAAACTCTGCCTCAATGTTTATGTTGGTATTTCCCCCCCCCCCCCTAAAATACAAACTTTCCCGATAACAAAACTTCAGAATTATAACTCATTTATTACCTTCCCATTTTTTCATGTTTCCATGGTGTAGGAGGCCCACATCAAAGATTAAAAAAAATCAAGGTCACAGAACTAGTTAGGTGGCAGTGTCATGTATAACTCAACCTCAGCTCTTCTGAATCCTGATAGCCCATGTCCTGTTTCTGTCACCAAATTACAAAACAATACTAGGGAGGAAAGACTCCAAGTTATTGCAGATAATGCTCTACATATTTGCATCCTCTTAAATCAATCTGGTCATGTGGTTATTTTTGGTCATGTTTTTAAGGTGATACTTAAGACTACAGCTATGAATGATCAGGCACAAGTTTAAAAACCAAGCCAATATGCAAAAATACTCATTTGTTCATCAAATATTAAATGTCCACTGGAAGGTAGTGCTGAGCACTTGGTAAACAGTGGTGTGAATGGATGTGGTCCTTATACTTTCTATTTCTCTGGCCTATACTGACATTTATAGGTTTAAATGGTTTCTTTTATCAGAGGTGAAAAGTTGTTTTATGTTGAACCCGTAATGCAACTACATTCTGATGACGGTTAAAAACTCAAGGCAAGGATATAAAACATTCTCAAGTATGAGGTAGTGAGTATATCAGAAAACCAGGATGTTGACTATGCTACTAACTATTCTTTCAAAGAGAGTAAGTACTGTGTCCTTTTATTCTAGATGTGAGACATCAAAAGTAATTAGTACTATTAATTAATATTACTAATATGACATTGAAAATCAAGGCTCAGTGGAGCCAGAAACTACAAAATAAGCTGAATACCAGAAAGAATTCCACATAAAACCCCAAGTACTTCTGTCCCAGGGAAGCACCGTTTTTCATAAGGACTTAATAATGTTGAGGTCATTTTGATTTTGTTTTCTACTATTAGGAAGGCCTTTCTGCAACTGGAAAAGCATGTAAATATGAATTGTGACCCAAGAGAAAAAACAAAACAAAAACAACTCAGGTGAAGTTTTTAATTCAAAGATACATCAAATTTGTAGTTAAAAAATATTTTGACAGGTTTATGTTTGACTTTGAAAAGCAACACCACTTTTGTGTACTGAAAAATAAAACTTCTTTAAATTTGACTTGTTGGTCCCATACTTCATCCACTGATGTATTTGTTGCTATTTACAAGTAAAAATGTAACTTTGTGATTCCTTTGCTTAATCCTAGTCTTCTAATATATGTATGAACCTGAATAACATGCATATTTTAATTTTTAAGGCAGATGGTAAACTTTCCTAAAGGTCTTGAGAGATTAAAATCTTGTCATGGGGCAAACACTGTTTCACAAAATGTAATACTTCATTTTTTAAGGTTGGGGTAAAGAGAACTTGAGCAACTAAACAGCATACTACATAGGCAATGTCTGTTGCCTAAAATGCTATGATTATGTTCTCTGCCTTTCCATTAAGACAGGATGGCTACAATGGGAAACCGGAACTGGTATAAAGCCTGAAAATAAAATGTTGTAAACCCAAATTCCAGAGCATTTTAGTAAGCATAGCATCTGTAAAGCATTTTAGAAAAAGTACCAATTGCCAAGCCACATCTTTGCAACAGTTCCAAACAAGAAAGGTTCTTCTCTCATAAGACTCTGAATTCCATGATGTAACCAGGGTGAAGAGCTTTAGACCAATTTAAACATTGCAAACTGCACTTCTGTTAATACTGTTTTTCTCTCAAAGCAAGATCGTGCTGGCATTTCCAGTGTCTGGAAGCACAAATGCTATTAATCATCTTCATTCTTTGCATTACCAGGAAGTTCCTCTTTATCTTGTTCTGAAGGATGAACAAAAGCTTGAACTGTACGTTTCAGAAGGTAAACTGCAGCATGAAGACCACCTATGTTCACCCAGACAGTGTGTACCTTCTGCCATACATGTCCCATTCCAGATAATGCCTATGTACACACAAAAGGCATAAAAGTAATTAGCTTCAGTGACCTACCTGTTTCTAGACCAACCATATGTCTTAGCTGTCAGTAAAACACTGGAGGAAGGGAACAATAAATCCTGCTCATACTAATATCCCTAGGTCTATTTGAAAAGATCCAAAAGTTGCCACTGGCTGTGGTTTAGTTTTGTTTGTTTTTTGGAGAGTGGATGGGAAGAGAAGGATGGGGAGGGAAAAACATCAATTGGTTGCCTCCCTCATGAGCCCCGACTGGGTTGGGAACCAAACCCGACACCCTTTGGTGTGCAGGATGACACCAGCCACTGAATCGCACCGGCCAGGGTCAGGCTATTTTTGAGTTACTATACAGCACCTTGGTAAAGCATTTCTTGTCCTGAGTAAGTAGTGCAGCTCGGCCTGTCCCTGGTCTGCAGACACGGCTCATCTCCCATAGGCAAGCTGGGTAAAGGTTCCAGTTTCTTTTCTTGGAGCCCATCCTATAAAAGAATGTCCAATGAGTCAGACACTTGCAAAAAGTACCTGGGACTAAGTGAGAAGTTATTAAGAACTCATTACAATAAGAAAATCCTGAGGTATGAAAAATAGTTGCCACTTCGAAGCCAGAGCTTTGCCCCATTGTATGTGAATAAAATTGAATGATCAAATTGTATAGAATTTTGAATCGGATAAATCAGTTACAGAAAAATACTGAGAACTCTTAAGTATATAAACTGTCCTCTTAATGAGCAGTCAAATTCTAGAAACCAAATCAGTGCTTATAACTTATACTGAGAAATAGAACCAAGTTTTCCTTAACCTTTCTGTGTTAAGTATGTAATTCAACCAAGGACTAGAAAGAAGGTGAACCTCCGGTGATGGTCAGGATTAAAATGTGATACATTTCTCAGTTTTCAGATGGGTGAATCCATCTTGTTATAATGCTTGAGTAAAAAATTGCTCTGCTGAGTCTGCCAAAAAGAATTAAATATTTGTAACAAATTCAAAATACAACAAGTTTAGAAGACGTGGGTACTAGCATAACAAGTGCAAGTAAAACTCATTTTTTAAACTAAATCCCACCTTTTTCCAAATGGCATGTCTGTTACAATAATATCCACAGAACCAGTTCTCAATGGCAGATTGCAGACATCCCATTGAATAGCATCTATAGGCAAGCCCCAGGATGGTTTGCTGTGTGGACAAAGGAAAGGAGCTTCAACTTATTCTGAAGCATGAAATTTAAAATTTTTTCTGAAGAGGCTGCTATAATGTACAAAATGCTACTGAAATATCAATTGATATTGACAGTATCAAACTATTTTAAAAGTAGAAATAAAGTGCATAGTTATAAGAATCAAATCTATAAGAATGACAGTTTTTTAAATGGTGAGGATTGGCTTTCAAAAGATTACATCAGCTTCATTTATGATTTAAGAAAGGATTACAAGGAAAAGATTGCAGCACAATTGCAATAGACAACTTTGAAACTTGAGATAGTAAATTATGTAAGTAAAATAAGACATAAAATAGACACTGGATCAACACTAAAGAGGAAAAAGATGAGGTGACACAGCTAAAGGATAAAGTTTGGTAAATCTACATAGTAATAATGAGACTTAAAAACAGATATATAAAATTAATATAGAGGTACTTTAAGATTAAAAAACAAATATATATACTATGTTATTAAACAAGAAGTAAAGTTAAGATAGAGGACAGGCCCTGGCCAGGTAGTTCAATTGGTTAGAGTGTCGTCCCAATACACCAAGGTTGTGGGTTTTTTGATCCCTTTACAGGGCACATACAAGAATCAACGAATGAATGTGTAGATTAGTGAAACAAGTTGATGTTTCTCTCCCTCTCTCTAAAATAAATTTTTTAAAAAAAGATGACAGAACACAGTAATAAAAACATGATTTAAATCCCATTGAGGCAAAGCTACTGGTTTGAGAAATAAGATACAACAGGTAATAATACACAGGCTAAGAATTAAAGGCAAATCAAATATAAGCAGAAATGAAGTGTTATACTACTGATATTTAATAAAGAATATAAGAAAAAATGCAGTGAAGGCGATCACTATATAATGGGAGGGTGGGGGCAAGTAAAGAGTTTTACAATCTCAAGCACGAACACACAAAGTGAAGGTGCAGAGGGTCTGAAAAACAATATTCAGAAAATCATGTTTTAAAATGTCTTGGGTTTCTAAAAAAAAAAGCCTGGTCATGTACTAAGTCTCAAGAAAATCTCATATGAAACAAAATACACCATAAAAATTCATCACAATATAAATTAACAAAAATAAATTGAAACCATCCTTGCTACTCAAAGTAGAGCCACAGACCAGCAGCATTAACATCATCCAGAAGCTTGCTAAGAAATACAGACTCCTAGGTCCCATTCTAAACCTACTGAATCAGAATCTGTATGTTGTTAATAGGGTCCCAGGTGATTCATAGGCACATTCAAGTTTTTGTTTTTTTGGTTAATCCTTACCTGAGAATATTTTTTCCATTGATTTTTTGGGGGGGGGGGGGGCGGGCATCAACATGAAACAGAGACATCAATTAGTTGCCTCCCTCTCAACCCCGACGGGGCCAGGGATCAAACTGGCAACCCAGGCACATGCCCTTGACCAGAATCTTAACCCAAGACCCTAGGGTCCATGGGCTGACACTCTATATCCAGGGCAGCACATTAAAGTTTGAAAAGCACCATCCTAAACAACTAATCAGAGAGACAAACAACTAACGATGTAGAAAGTAAGCAAAATAGAGAATTGTCAGAATCTAAAATATGGTTATCAACAGGAGTACTTTCCATAAAGTTAAGCTCTAATAATAAAACTTTCATCATCAAAAAGATATCTACAGCTTATGACTTAAGATTTTAGATAAATTTTAAAACCTCAATAGGAGCCCTGGCCGGTTTGGCTCAGCGGTTAGAGCATCGGCCTGTGGACCAGAGAGTCCCAGGTTCGGTTCCCGCTAAGGGCACATACCTCTTGCAGTTGGTCCCCGGCCCCAGTTGGGGTTGTGTGGGTGGCAACCAGTCGATGTGTCTCTTACATTGATGTCTCTCTCTCTCTTCCTCCCTCCCTCCCTCCCTCCCTCCCTCTCTGTCTAAAGATAGATGCAAAAATGTCCTCATGAGGATAAAAAAAAAAATAGGAGATAGGAATAAAAACAAGGCATCAAGCATAAAACCACAGAACAGCACTGGTGATTATAATCAAAAGGGAAAACAAAATTAGCAAAGAGGATAATCTATACAGACATAAAACAGTAACAGGTATACCACATAGAAATAATGAATATTTGCATAAATTGAATGTATATTTTTAAAAATCTGATGTCTACTTACAAATATAAACCTCATACAAAGGGTTATGAGGGTAGGTGTTTCTAGATCTGTTAAGGCCAACCATGGCTTATAAAGTACTCAGGATGTAGAGCACCTGTTACGACCTAATGAATCTACTGACCACTACCAACTCCTGCCACTTTATAAGAAAATGAAGGAGACTAGCAGTGGAAACCAGAGGAGGCCTCTGGTAAGAAATTGTAGACTAAGTAACATTTCAACCAATTCTTCCCAAAGACAGTTAAAGACTTTGGTAGAATGGTGAAAGGCTGGTCCAGATGGTGTGCAATTTGTTGTAGGATAGGGCTTAATACCATGATGACATATCTCTCAGATGAAAAACAAAACTTCCCAAAGGTTAGTAGACTTCCAATGCACAGATATAAAAAAGATACAGTTAAAGGACTTAGAATATTTTATTTAGATGGAGGAAGAGGGAGATTTGGTCAGTCATCATGTGACAGAGATAAAATTTTTCTTTATGGACCCAAGTGGGAAGAAAAACCCCAAATCTGTAAGAGGTTTGGAAAGATTCAGTTCACTAAAAGATACGACTTACTGTGCAAAGATGGAATCAACAGCCTGACTCAGAGATAAGAGTCATTAGAGGTGTTCACACAAGCTGGAAGGACAATGGTTAAGATTTCCTATAGGATATTTAGGAACCATGGGGATGGCTTTCAGGTCTCTTGAAAAAGATTTTCTTAAAGTGCCAACTAATAAAGGAAAGGGTAAATAAATTATAGTATTTCTATAGAATGGAATATGCAATCATTAAAAATAGACTCTAGCCCTGGCCAGTTTGGCTCAGCGGTTAGAGCATAGGCCTGCGGTCCGGAGAGACCCGGGTTCGGTTCCCGCTAAGGGCATGTACCTTGGTTGCAATTTGTCCCCAACCCTGGTTGGTTGTGCGGATGGCGGCCACTCGATGTGTCCCTTTCACATAGATGTTTCTCTCTGTATCTCTCTCCCTCCCACTCTATCTGAACAAAAAATGGAAAAATATCCTCAGGTGAGGATTTAAAAAAAAAGACTCGTATTATACAATATTCTTTAAGTGGGGAAAAAAACAGGACAGAAATAAAAATAGTTGCATTAGGGTAGGGAAGTTACAGTTAAAAGTTTTTAAAAAATATAAATCATTTGCCCTGGCCGGTTTGGCTCAGTGGTTAGAGCGTCGGCCTGAGGTCCAGAGAGACCCGGGTTCAGTTCCCGCTAAGGGCGCGTTTGTCCCGGGCCCTGGTTGGTCGTGCGGGTGGCAGCCACTTGATGTGTCCCTTTCACGTTGATGTTTCTCTTTCTCTCTCTCTTCCTTCCCCACCCACTCTATTTGAACAAAAAATGGAAAAATGTCCTCGGGTGAGGATAAAAATATATATAAAAATCATTTTTATATATATAAATCATTTTCACCCTGGTCAGTATGGCTAGTGGTTAGAGTGTCCACCTGCAGATAGAAGAGTTGAGAGTTTGCCCTGGCCGGTTTGGCTCAGCGGTTAGAGCGTCGGCCTGCGGTCCGGAGAGACCCGGGTTCGGTTCCCGCTAAGGGCGCGTACCTCGGTTGCAGTTTGTCCCCGGCCCTGGTCGGTTGTGCGGGTGGCAGCCACTCGATGTGTTCCTTTCACATCGATGTTTCTCTCTCTCTCTCTGTTCCTCTCTCTCCCCCCCACTCAACCTAAACAAAAAATGGAAAAATGTCCTCGGGTGAGGATTAAAAAAAAAAAAAAAAAAAAAAAAAGAAGAGTTGAGAGTTCGATTCCTGTCAAGGGCACGTACCATGGTAGCAGGTTCAATCCCCAGCCCTTGTTAGGGTTGTATGGGAGGCAACTAATTGATGTTTCTCTCTCTCCCCTTCCTCCCACTCTATCTGAAAAAAATCAATGGAAAAATATCCTTGGGTGAGGATTTAAAAAAATTTTTTTTTCAATAATCTTTTAAAATTTGCCCTGGCCGGGTAGCTTAGTTGGTTAGAGATTCATCCCAATAAGCCAAGGTAGTGGGTTTGATCCCCAGTCAGGGCACATACAAGAATCAACCAATGAATGCATAAATAAGTGGAACAACAAATCAATGTTTCTTTCTCCCTTACTCTCTGTCTCTAAAATCAATCAATCAATCAATCAAAATAACCTTTAAAATTTAAATGAAGTCTCAATATGTTCATTTTGGTTAAATGATGTCACAATGCACTGGGAGTATTAATCATAAAGTCAAAAGTCTAAAAGATGCTACAAAAACTTAAAAACTTTTACCCTTCTTTGCCCTGGCCAGTGTGGCTCAGTTGGTTGGAGCATCGTCCTATATACTGAAAGGTTGTGGGTTCAATTCCTGGTTGGGGTACACATGGAAGGCAACCAATTGATATTCTCTCACATCAATGTCTGTCTGTCTCTCTCTCCCCCCTACTACCCCACTCTCTAAAATTCAATAAGCATATCCTCCGGTGAGGATTTAAAAAAATTTTTTTTACCCTTCTTTAATTTGGCTCTTGGTCAGTAAAGATGAGATGTTATTTGCTGCTCTATTCACAGCCAATGGATTATTATCACCAGCAACATGAAAACAGTTACACCATTCAGTAGCCCCCTAAAAGACAAGAGTATATATTGAAACAGAAGCAGCAAACTGCAAAAAATGGTTAAAGAAAAAATAATTTCAATCAATTATCAGTAAACAAGACATCCAATCCAACAGTTCAGTACTTTTCTGAAGTGGCAAAACACTGCATGTTATCAAGTTTGCTATTTCCCCTGCTTGAAATACCTTTCTTTCCCTGCTTGCTGAACTCCTACTTATCTTTTAAGACCTAGCTGTGTGACATAAACCCTGACCCTCCAAGCTGCCTCATTTGCCCCTCCCCAAAGCACTTTGTACATATTTCTGTAACTGCAGTTGTTCTCTTTTTAATTATTTCTATATCTATCTGACTCTCAATGAATCTGGGAACTCAGGTCTGGTATTTTATTTAATCTCTCACCCAGCAGTATCTGGTACACTATAGTAGGCAATACAGACCTTAAATACAAATGTAGTTTGAAAAAACAACCAAAAATTAAACCAACCTATATTCTTTTGTGATTATGGGATTTTACATAATCTAATACATTGGAATATTTGAGAATTTCAAAATAAAATGTAATCTCCATTGTATAGGCTTTTGAATAGTAACCACCATATCCCTGAAATGATTTTATAATTTTAAGTAAACATGTCAGCAGAATGTAAATATCTCACTGTTACATATCATTCATGGAATGAGGTAACATACTACACTAGGCCTGAACAATGTTCTATGCAGATTAACAGGTTTCTGACATGAAGGCAAAGAAAGTTCTGCCCTCTGTTTAGGGATAAGTAACAAACACTTCTTCCTTTGTAAACAGTAATACACCCTCAGCCACAAACAGTGCTTCACAGCTTTTTCTTTTGCCCAGACACTTGAGGGCAATGTAGAGGTGTGATGTACAGTGGGTGTGGAAGAGACCTAGAGAGTGTGATAAAAGCCTCTTAGGTGATTCTGATTCCCCAACATTCATTGTTTTTCTTTATATTTCCAGACTCTAAAAGAGATGGGTTTTGTAGTACTTCCAAGTTTTAAGGGGAGTATTCTAAATCAAGTATTTTATACTTTATACACACACACACACACACACACACACACACACACACACACACACACCCCTTGTCAATTCTATTGATAATTTTATTTATTTTGATCATATATCAGTTTAGGTTTTTCAATATTTACACCCTCATGTCTACCTTTACATGGAAATGACTTAAACTTTTTAAGATCTTTTTTTATTGGGGGGGAGGGGTCTTTTCTGGACTTTCTGGTTCTGTTGTCTATTTTTTGACATGTAGTAACCTTCTCTGCTATTTCATAGACACATCATGGTTTAATGATGAAAAACACTCTGCTGCTTTGTTCCCAGAATTATTGAGAACAACTAACTGAATTTTTTCTGTGTGGGTAGATCTCTTTAGCCAGAGTAAATTTTTCTAGCCAAAACGAGCAGAAAACAGTAGTCATCTAGACTACTATGATTTCCTTCTAGAATTTTGAATCCCAGATGACAGATGTCATTGTCTAACTGCAGTCTGGATTACTATTCCCTTTGTGGGTTGCTTTGGACTTGCTCATCTGTTTCGTTTCTGCCCACTCAAAGAATCTATGGCAGCGATTTTCAACCTTTTCATCTCACAGCACACAAAAACTGATTACTAAAATTGTGCGGCACACTAAATAATGTATTTTTTGTTGATCTGCCCCCCCCCAAAAAAGGGTATAGATTTGACTGCTTTCCTAAAAATAATAATAATAATGATGATGATGATGATGATAGTAATTAGCTACCCTTTTTGCTCCAAAGTGACTTTAAAAAAAAAAAAATCAAGTGTCTATACTTTCATATAAGGATTTCTGCTACCAAGAATTAACCAATCAGCCTGGCCAGTTTGGCCCAGCAGTTAGAGTCGGCCTGTGGACCGGAGAGTCCCGGGTTCATTTCCCGCAAGGGCACGTACCTTGGTTGCAGTTTGTCCCCAGTCCTGGTTGGGGTCGTGTGGGTGGCAGCCACTCAGTGGGTCTCTCTCACACTGATGTTTCTCTCTCTCTCTTCCTTCCTCTTTCCCTCCAACTCTATCTGAAGATAAATGCAAAAATGTCCTCGGGTGAGGATTAAAAAAATAATAATAATTAACCAATCAGACGCAACCTTATTATGCGATATGACCAATAAGATGCAACTCCATCAGTGACCTATGTATTTATGGTTCACACCAGGCGGCTATTGTGTTGGCTGTTGTCATTTTTTTATTTGACAATTTAAGGGAAAAGAGATCAGTGTCCTATACTAAATAGTCAGGTATTGCATGTTTTAAAAATTCTGTGGCACCTCAGTTGAAAATCACTGAACTATGGTATCTCCCATTGGCTTTAGGTGTCCTCTATGTAAGAACTTACTATATTTCACAAATTTAAGCCATTTTACTGGGAGTGCCCTCTTCCAAATTATTTATAAAAATATACATGATATTGATTCAAAACTCTCCTGTTAAATGCTCTCCATTTAGAAAATGCCTTTCCATTTCTTCCTTTGCTTTAGGCAATTTTTGAGTCCTCGCAATGTCACAGTAATTTTGAAAACTACTTAAGAACATTTGGTATATAACCTTGTTAGACTTCCTTAAACAAAAATCTGCCAGCTGGTGTGGCACAGTGGTTGAGCGTTGACCCATGCATCAAGAGGTCACTGGTTCAATTCCAGGTCAGGACACGCCCAGGTTGTGGGCCCAATCCCCAGTGGGGGGCATGCAGGAGGCAGCCAATTGATGTTCTCTCTCATCAATGTTTCTATCTTTCTCTCCCTCCCTTCCTATCTCTATCAAAATCCATAAAGAAAAACAATTTTTAAAAAAATCTAAATATCGTCCATGGGTTTCCCCTTTTTACAACTATACTTACTCTAAAAACCCAAGAGGATTAAGAAACATAGTCACTTTAAATGCCTTCCTCCAGTTTATGCTTATGCCTTCAATTATCTTTTCCATTCAAGTTTACCTGCTTGTCTATCATAGAAAAGGGACTCATCAGTATGTAATTCTTAACTTCCTCTGTAACCACTAAATAAATATAATTCATAATCTACCTAGTTCTTGGCTATTTGTACAAAACTTTTACACAAAAGTTCCAGCTTTACTAGAGTAATTCTTTCAAAACTCTTGGGTCCATTGACCCAACGTTGGTGATTTCATTTTGTCTAATGTGCTAATTGATTCTAGAACATTTTGGATGTAATATATTTGCTTATTAAAAGCTAAAGAAAAGTTATTACCTCTATTGGTATTGCCCCTGTTCCACACATTGGATCAACTATTATGTCAGTAGGTTGAGGAGCACAGAGCCTAGAGAAAAGAAAACAGCTTATATGTGAAGAGACTTCAGCCAACAGCTGAGGCTTCCATAGTGACTATTTCTGAAGCTATAAAATTAAGGACCTGTTATATTAGCATGAAGAAGCACCAATCAATATTCATTTAAAAAACCAATGTGTAATTACATGTTGACTATATCCTAGTGGTTAAAAAAAAAAAAAAAAGCATTATATGTAACTTAAAGTACTCTTTTACTAAATCCCATTAAATTTCAAAAGCAACTTAGTTTCCAGGTCTTTTAATATACATGTATGCCTTCTAGAAAACACATGTTATTTTGCATATAAACCTGTATTGTTACATTAAAAAATATATATAAATGTTTCAAGAAAACGTGTATAAGTCGACTGACAATTAGACATTTTCAGTATTCCTTTCCTTATGAATTACCTTGCTATAAAAATATTTGCTTTACTATGTGTACTTATTAGTACAGTAATTCCTCACTTGATGTGATCGATAGATTCTGCAACTTTAAGCAAAATGACATACGTATAATGGAACTAATTTTACCACAAGCTAATGAATATAAACAAGAGTTACGTTCCTACAGCATCTCTGTCATCTCATCAATGCTACAAGGAAACAATGTTATTTGAGGACCTGCTGTATTTGCCAGGTATGGCTTTAACTCTTTGCATGCATCATCTCATTTAATCCCTTTAATAGCCCTATGAGGTAGGTCACTATTATTATTCTCATTTTACAGATAAGCTGATATAAAACCTGTCCAGAGACACAAAACTAATAGGTAATAGAATATGGATTAGAGACAGTACTGGTAGTGGCTTAAATGTTACCCTCTCTATGAAGCACTCCCTTCTCAGACAGGTCATTAGGCTTCTCCTTTTGTCCTGCTGATCTTTTCACATTCTATTATGGTATTTATTACATGTAATTATTTCTCTCTCTCACAAGACTTGAGATTCTTGAGGATGACACTGGATTCTTAGTTTAATAACTGTCCAGCTCCTTGTTCCTGCCCCTCAACACATGGCAACAGAATTGTTGGCAACCCCGTTGGCAGTAAGCAACCCTGTACTCCCAGCCACTGCTGCCAGGGTCCAGGTGAACACTTGACCAAGACTATGTCAATCAGATTCCCTCTTCCAAGAACTGGGATAAAGAAGTAGAAGCCCTGGGCAATTTGGAGCTGGTCATTGGAAATTGGAAATATATAAATTTAGATGAGGGGCAGCCATTTGCACATATGAGCAGAGAGAAGAGCCCAGAAACTCCCAGGAGAAACAAAAGTGACTATACAGGTTTAAACAGTAGTTTTCCAAGGTGTGGTTCCTACCCTTGAAACATGGCTTTCCATTTTTCTGTGGATCCCCCAAGATTTCTCAGTGTTTTTTAAATAACTGCTCTTCTTATACCATCATCATTTTATTTTATCTTAAACTAGCTTACTTAGGTTTCTAATAGTTGCACCCAAAATAACTATTCATATCCCTGGCTCCTACACCATAATGCCTGGCAGTAGATAATAAATGTTTGTTAAATGAATGAAGACAATCAAATGTTCCCAATTTTCTACTATTGTCATTGAATTGATAGGTTCTAACTGTGTTGAACTGTGACTCCATGGATAAGCAGGTAAAAGAGGACTGACTACCAGAATATGCCAGACTGTATATAGCAGTATTTTGCATATGTTTCTTCATTTACTCCTCACTAGTAATCTTTAAGTCTCATAGCAAATCCATTTTGCACTCTAGAAAACAGAAACCTAGAGAAGACAGTTTGTTTGAGTGGTGGAAAGAAGCACCCAATATAAAAGGGAACAGGGAAAAGGAGAAAGCAAACTAGGTCTTGCATTTGGAAAAGTGGAAAATTCCAGGATGATTCCTGGGTTGCAGTGATTATAAAATTTAAAAATATAAGTAAAAGCTCTCGGTGTTCATTTACACATTAGACATTTTTTAAAAATCTCTTCTTTCATCTGCTTCACTGGCAGAAATGAAATAAAGTAAAATTTGCTCTATTTCCCAATATACAGTATATTCTTTCTAAACAGAAATGTCACAACCTCATTCAAGAGGTAGATGAAAACTATCGTTCCCATTTTAAAATCAAGAAAACTGAGACAGTAATTATGTGATATTTTCAGGATCATAAAGAATCAATACTGGATACAAGGGAAAAGAACAGATCATTAGCTTTTTATCCTATTCTTTATCTACTAAATTCCAACACAGTATCTCACAAGAAATTAAAGTGCTTTGAAGAGAAACTTGAAACCAAGTTGTCACTTTAAGCTATACGGTAAACCCATTCTCATACCTGAGCATCCCATAGGCAAGAGTAGATCTAAGAGTTGTAGGTCCAAAATGTGTGATATTTCTTCGGTGTAGACTCTCTTCTGTTAATGCAATGCCCACAATGATTTCATTATCGTGGATATTCAAAAGCACCTAAAATCAAACAAGATAAAATAAAATAGTTTTAGAATTGTTTAAACTGCACTTATCACTAGAATTTTTTTAATTCAGGGTTTATTAATTTTTTTAAACTTTATTATTGAGGTATACTTTATACACAGTGAAGTACACAAATCTTATGTAGCATATTTTACCTATATATACACTGTAACTGCCACTTCGATAAAGATACAATACTTCTAGCACAACAGAAGGCTCCACTTTGCCCTTGCCAGTAATTCATCTGACCACTTCCACATGTTAATTTTATCTTGTTTTGAACCTTCATATAAATGAAATCATTTAGTACATATAACTTTTAAATGTTAACATCTATTTTATTCTTTTATTTACTGTATTTGTAAGTTAGTTATAATCATATTTCCCTTGAATTTTTATAATATATATTTTGAAGGTTTATGGGTTTCTTAATATACATATCTTTATGTATTTTTTTATGTAAAATTTTTTTTTAACTCCTCACCCGAGGATATTTTTCCATTTATCTTCAGATAGAGTGGGAGGGAGGGAGGGGGAAAGAGAGAGAAACATCGATGTGTGAGAGACACACTGATTGGTTGCCTCCTGCACGACCTCTAATCAGGGCTGGGGACCAAACTGCAACCGAGGTACATGCCCTTAACCAGAATAGAACCTGCACCTCTTTGGTCCACAGGCCGATGCTCCAACAGCTGAGCCAAACCAGCCAGGGCTAAAATTTTGACTTTTAACCAATTGTTAACACATTTGCTTTATCACCTATTATTTTTTTTATTTTTTAAAACTTGACTCGCCCTGGCCGGTTTAGCTCAGCGGTTAGAGCATCGGCCTGCAGTCCAGAGAGACCCGGGTTCGGTTCCCGCTAAGGGCACGTACCTTGGTTGCAGTTTGTCCCTGGCCCTGATTCGTCATGCGGGTGGCAGCCACTCGATGTGTCTCTTTCACGTCGATGTTTCTCTCTCTCTCTCTCCCTCCCACTCTATCTGATCAAAAAATGGAAAAATGTCCTCAGGTGAGGATTAAAAAAAACAAAACAAAACAAAACAAAAACTTGACTCAATGTGAAATGTTTTCAGTCCTAGTTATAGTTTTTCTAACACAAATTAAATATAAACTATCCAATATATATGTTCTCCAATATTTTATCTAAAATTTCCTCATCATGACCTCAGCAGCAACAGCAGCTGACACTTATCTAGCTATATATACTTTACATTCATCATCTCATTTCATATTCACACCTTCTGAGCCTAGTATTATTACCCTCCTTTTTTTTGTGGTTAATCCTCACCCAAGGATATTTTTTCCATTGAGTTTTTAGAGTAGAAAGGGGGCAGCTAAAGACAGAGACAGACAGAAACATTGATGTGTCTCACATTGATCAGATGCCTTCCGCACATGTCCCAACTGGAAACTGGGATGGAACCGCAACCCAAGTATGCACTCTTGACCAGGAATCGAACCTGAGACCCTTCAGTGTTCGACCAATGCTCCAACCACTGAGCATACTGGCCAGAGCAGTACCCCCCTTTTATAGACGAGGAAATTGAGGCACAAAGATGTCAGCTTACTTGTCCAAAGTCACACAGTTTATAAATTGGGATCTGAACCCAGGTAGAATGGCTCCAGTATCTGTCCTCTGAGCCCCGTTGCTAACTTTTGGACATTATTGTTCTAGTTAGCCTATTCATTCTCATAACAATTGTTATAAGAAAAAAAGGAATGGGGAAATGTTCTTCTCATTTAATATGCAATAAAATAAAAAGTTAAGAGAGAATAAGTGGCTTGCCCCAGATTTAAGTGTCCCAAAAGCAACAGAAAATGACTTCTTGGTAAAAACATTAGCTACTAGGGACCTCTTAAACTGTCAGAGATTTAAAAACAATTTAGTATAGTCCACATGTGAATCACCCATGTAGTAGAAAATTGAGACTAAGGAGAGAAATCATGCTAAAACGAGGTTATCTGGGTTTGAGAATGTAGCAGAAATTAAGACAGGAGAGCTGGTTCTAGAATGAGTATTAGCAATGATGTCCTGATATTAGGAGGTCGAGGTTTGTTTTAAAAATATACTCCATGGCCCTGGCTAGTTTGGCTCAGTGGTTACAACATCGGCCCAAAGATCAATGAGTCATGGGTTCGATTCCAGTCAAGGGCACATACCTCAGCTGTGGTTCGGCCCTGGCCCTGGCCGGGTCATGTGGGAGGCAACCAGTCGATGTGGCTCTATCATATCAATGTTTCTCTGTCTCCTCCTCTCTATTTGATGATAAGTAGAAAAATATTCTCGGGTGACAAATAAAAATAATAATAATGTACTCCAAGGAGCATTTAGATCTTGTTCTCTAGCATACGTTATCAGTTGGGCTGAAATACAGTCTTATAAAAATTCTTTAGTCCTGGCCAGTGTGGTTCAGTTGGTTGGAGTGTCATTTATACACCAAACGGTGGTGGGTTTAATTCCTAGTCAGGGCACATACCCAAGTTGTGGGTTTGATCCCCAGCGGGGATGCATGCAGAGGCAACCAACTGGTTGCCTTTCTCTTTCTCTCTCCATTCCTCTCTCTAGAATCAATAAAGAAAAATATATATTTAAAAATAATTTCTCTTAAAAAAATACTTAGTTGAATTTTATAATCTGAAAGTCCATGTAATATTATAAAAAGTACCAGATTAGAAATTAGAAAACTCAAGTCTTAATAGTTCCCATCTATTGAGCACACAGTATATACCAGGTATTGCACCAAATACTTAACACATATTATCTCATTTTACCTTCAGTATATACACTTAGAGGTATATACTACTACTGGCTCTATTTGAAACACAGGCTCAGAGAGACTATCTTGTCCAAAATTACACAGTACAAAATCTAAATTTGGATCTAGATCTGTCTCCATGGCCCATGCTCTTGTTAGGCATACCCTATTAGCTATGTGTTCAGTTTAATTGTCCATAGATTGGGTTAGTCTGAAAATTCTACAAATCTATGATGGCCTTCTTGAATTGTCACAATCAGAGCCTGTACCTACCTCCACATCAAAGTTGGTCATGTCAGCCTTCCACTTAAAATAATCTTGAACAGCACCTCCAAAATCTCTTGCGGCCTCATTTGAAGAAAAGCAATGTTTCTCTCCTGCCCTGTTGCATGTGACTCTAAACTTGAGCACTTCGGGATCAGTCTCATCTTTGCAAGTTGCCAATTCATCACCTACTAATGTTGATATCTCTTCTTTGATGGCTGGGTTTTCATAGTAGTCTAAAATACATGAATCTAAAGCATTATCAGTCACCTCTTTTTTAACATCTCTCTCATCTCTTTTGTCTCCACATCCATTATCAATCTTCTCTTTACTTGAATTCTGATTTATCTTTTTGCGCTTTGTTTTTTTTTTCTTGAAACTGGTGTTAATTTTCCATACTTTTAAAGGGTCTGACCATGGAAGCTTCCCAGCCAATTCTTCTAAATCCTTTAGGACTTCTTCCTATAAGGGACAGAGAATGAAATCCATTCATTTCTTACCCCTTTAATTGAACAAATAAACTCGTACTTTGCCTACAGATGATATTAATCGTTATGTTGAGGGTGGTAGGGATGCGAAATGAGTCAATAAAATAACGGTTGTAATTGAGGAAATAAAAATCACATTGAAAATTAAGAGATAAACAAATTAAGCCACTAAAGAATAATACAAGACAGAACTGGTAGATTGGAAGTTGGGCTTCAAGATTAAAATGTAAACAACAAGAAACTACTAACAGTGGTTACCCTCCAGGGAGAGGAAGTGGGTGGATGAAAGACAAGGAGGGAGGGCAACTTCTCTCTCTTTCACTGACTACCTTTTGAACTTTGTGCTGTATGTAGATATTAACTATTTTTTAAAGTAGTATTTTTAAAAGAAAAAAATCTTAAGCAGTTAAAATGTACCTAGAGTCTTTTTAAAAAGTAAATCTAATTGTGCCCCTCCCTTGCTTAGAGTCCATCAATAGCTTCCCAATACACATTTAAAAAAAAAAAATCCAAATTCCTGCCCTGGCTGGTTTGGCTCAGTGGTTGGAAAGTTGGCCCACAGACCAGAGGGTCTCAGGTTCAATTCCTGGTCAGGGGCACATGCCTGGGTTGCAGGTTCAATACCTAGCCCCATTCAGGGCACATTTGGGAGGCAACCAATTGATGTGTCTCTCACATCGATGTCTCTCTCTCTCTCTCCTTCCTTTCCATTCTCTCTGAAGATCAATGGAAAAAATATCCTCAGGTGAGGATTAACAACAACAACAAAAAATCTAAATTCCTTAAAAAGCCCAACATAATATAACTCCTGCATACTTCTCATACATCACTTCAGGATCATTCTTTCCCTCACTTCCTCTGCCTGGAAGACACTTGGTTCATACAGTCTCTTTGCATTGCTGGCTCCCTTCTCATTACTTAATAGCAATTTAAAAGGCATATCCTCTGAGAGACCTGCTTTACTTATAGCAATCCTTTCAAATCATTCTATTTTATTTTCTTTACAGAGCTTAGCATTACCTAAAGTTACTAGGTTTATGTATTGTTCACCATCAAGGCTCCTCCCAGAAGATAAGTACAGGGTAGGAAGGACTTTACCTGTTGTGACCTATACACCATACCCCTAGAAAAATGCCTGGCACACAAAAGGTACTCAATAAACAACTGATGAATAAATGTTAAAATGGGTGGTACAGAGCCATGCTGTCCAATTCAGCAGCCATCAGCCACATGTAACTATTGATATTTAAATGATTTAAATTTAAAAACTCAGTTTTATCAGTCTCATTAGCCATATTTCACACACTGGTGGCCAGTGGCTACCATGTTGGACAGCGCAGAAACAGAACATTTTCATTGCAAAGCTCTTCTGCAGAATGCTGGCAGAGAGTACATGTTACTGAAGATCAAAGCAGAATGAAATCAGTGATGGCTAATGGAACTAAGACTTGAAATAGAAGTGAGTGAAGGCTTTGATACTACTTGAAACCTCATAAAATAATGGTAAATTTCAGGTTTAGCAAATCCAAATTCTATTTACAAACAATTTTCCTATAAAGGGCAACATGGTGGAATGACACTGGTACAGCCCTTCTTTCTTCAGAAACCATGCTAAAAGAAAAAAACAACAGAAATACCAACTCTATCTTTTTTTTAATTATCCTCACCCAAGGACACTTTTGCATTTATCTTCAGATAGAGCAGGAGGGAGAGAGGGAGAGAAACATTGACGTGAGAGAGACACATCGACTGGTTGCCACCCCCATGACCCCAACCGGGGCCGGGGACAAACTGCAACGGAGGTATGTGTCCTTAGCGGGAACCGAACCTGGGACTCGCTGGTCCACGGGCCAACCCTCTAACTGCTGAGCCAAACTGGCCAGGGCTATCTTTTTTTAACCCTCATCTGAGGATATTTTTCCATTGATTTTCAGAAAGAGTGGGAGGGAGGGAGAGAAACATCAATGAGAGAGACACACACTAACTGGTTGCCTCCTGCACGAGCCCAATCAGGGTCGTTGATAGGAACCACAACTGAGGTAGGTGCCCTTGGCCAGACTCGAACCTGCGACTTTTTGGTCTGTGGGCTATAGCTCTAACCAGAGCAAAACTGGCCAAGGCCCAACTCTATCTTAATATAATCTGCATGCTATCCATAACCTTGAACCATAATATCAGAATTCTAACATAAGAATTTCCAAGTGCAGCAAAGGTCAAACAGGTGCAGGAAGACAGAGAGAAGAATGCCTGTAGATCTCAGATAAAGGGTAGAGCAATCTGCAAACTAGTAGCAAATAAACTCTGCTTTGGAACAGCAGGGAAGAACAATGTGCACTGTACTTCGTTTGTATCAAAAAGAAGCAAGGGCCCTGGCCGGTTTGGCTCAGCGGTTGGAGCGTCGGCCTGCGGTCCAGAGAGACGCGGGTTCGGTTCCCGCTAAGGGCACGTACCTCGGTTGCAGTTTGTCCCCGGCTCTGGTTGGGTCGTGCGGGTGGCAGCCACTCGATGTGTCCCTTTCACATCGATGTTTCTCTCTCTCTTCCTCTCTCTCCCTCCCACTCTATCTGAACAAAAAATGGAAAAAATGTCCTCGGGTGAGGATAAAAAAGAAGCAAGGGAGAGAAATGGAGGCTGAACAAGGAATCTCACAGACAATTTCTATTTGATGGACACAGTCCTATTGGTGAGGCAGAATTGGGGAGAGTACCCAAAGAGTAAATAACCCTGAAGCTGTTGATCTCTTTAGGCTAGGGAGAAGTAATGGTTAAAAGAACTCATTTAGACCTGGCCAGTGTGGCTGAGCGTCTGAGATTCGACCCATGCACCAAGAGATAGCCAGTTAGATTCCTGGTCAGGGCACATGCTCAGGTTGCAAGTTCAATCCCCAGAGCAGGGTGTTTGCAGGAGGCAGCCAATCAATATTGATGTTTCTCTCTCATTAATGTTTCTATCTCTCCCCCTTGCTCTAAACTCAATTAAAAATATATATATATTTTTTAAAGAACACATTTAATGGTATGGAAATTACATCTCAGTAAAGTTATTTAAAAAAAGAAGGAAGAACCCTGGCCAGTTTGGCTCAGCGGTTAGAGCATCAGCCTGTGGACCAGAGTCCTGGGTTCAGTTCCCACTAAGGGTTTGTACCTCGGCTGGGGTTATGTAGGTGGCAACCACTCATTGTGTCTCTCTCACACATTTGATGTTTCTCTTTCTCTCTCTCTCCCTCCCTCTCTCCCCCCTGCTCTATCTGAAGATAAATGCAAAAATGTCCTCAAGTGAGGACAAAAAAAAAAGGAAGAGAAGAAGAACTCATTCACCTACAACTCTTTATCAGAAGAAAATTCAGAGGGATTTCTTGCTGACCTGAAACAGTTCCTGGCTTTTCCGAGGAGAACCTCCTCTAAATAGGAGGTCCAAGAGGAACTCTCTCATTCAAAGATGAGCAATTATCAAAAGTTACCCGCACAATATTTACAGGAACCTTAAAAAAGGAAAAAGGAGGAAAAGAACAGGAAAAGAAATAGACAAAAAACTGACCGGAAAGACACGCCAAAGAGCAGCTGAAAGCTATAACCAAACATACTGAAATGGCATAAAAAAATGTAATGAGGATATACTTTTATAAAAATAACAGCTCAAGGCTGAGATAGAAAAGCAGAAAGATGAGGTGAGCCACCAGAGAAAGAAACAGGAACTTGTAGAGTTCAAAGAAAAAGAAATCACAGATGCTAGCCTTTAGAAAAATAGGCTATAAATTCTTGATATCATCTGACTACTTGAAAATACCTATTAAAATGCTTCAACTAACAGGCTTTTTATAAGACGGGAAAATATAATGCTACAAAGAATAAAATCGATGGTCAACAGAACAAAAGCTAGAAGCAAATGTTTAAAAGCAATGTTTTACTAGAGTATGTTGCAATGTAAGTCCACAAAGTGAAGGGCTTAACAATTTTTCATTGTCACACACAACAGAAGTTGCCCGTGCACAGATCTGAAAATCTACCTTAATGCTGCTCTTCTTTTGGAACTTCCACCAGCAACCTCTTTTATAGTTACTTACAAAGCAACTCTGAAAAGTTGGCTTACATACAACCATTCCATAATACCAAATTTGCCTCCAATTAAGAGATCAAAAACACCAAAATAATACAAACTCTAGATGGAAAAAAAAACACAGGAATTGATGAGAATATTAATAATGTCTAGAAAGTTAGAGACAAGAATGAAAAAAATTTTTTTTAAACTTATAGTTTTTTTAAATGTCTGTTAACATTTATTCATGGCTATTAAAATTCTGAAATACTTAGCAACAAAAATTTTCAGTAACCTGTCTATTATTTACTAGTTTCACAGAGATGATTCAGTTGGCAATGACTGTCAGAAGTCTGAAGGGTTACAAGACTAGTATTAAACGTTATATTTTTGGTTATTAAAATTTTTATCTATTTCGGTTTTAATTCTTTTAGGTCTGGTTGTATTTTTTCTAGGCTGTAGGTTCATACCACTTTGATTGGTTTTGTTTGTTTTTTTATAATCCTCACCTGAGGGTATGTTTCTTATTGATTTTTAGAGAGAGGAAGGGGTAGGGAGAGAGAGAAAGACAGACATCAATGAGAGAAACATACATCAGTTGCCTCCCATACAGGCCCCAAATGGGGATCAAACCCACAGCTTAGATATGTGCCCTGACCCGGAAATCAAACCTGCAACCTTTTGGTGTACAGGACTATGCTTGAATTGAGCCACCCAGCTAGGGCTGATAGGTATTTGAATGATGTTTTGGAAATCAATCTGTTGCCAATAAATAAAAATTAGAGAATTAAGCAGCATATCATAGTTTTTAAAAACAGGTTATTTCTCATATAGGCAATAAAACAAAAGTTTTCAAGCATTTGATTCTGGAAACTTGACCAAAAAGCTATGTGGAAAAATATTAAAGCCTTACTGAGATCTATTTTCAACCTTCAGCTTAGGCAGCATCTCAAAATTTACAAATCAGATGTTAAATACAAGTTGGAGACAAAGCTGTTGTCCTAACAACTGAAGGAGTATTTAGATATTACTTTGGCTTTATTTCAAAAAATGAAGTTAGAGAAAAAGCCAGGCAAAAGCAGAACAGTGAGGGAAAGTGTTATCTGTAGATGATACAAACCGTCACTTGCTCTTTGAATCGCAATTGGAAAGCAATTCTATCTTGAAACCATATATATCGGCAAAGCTAATCTAAGGTATCTATCTTTTGTAAGAAAGTCGAACAATTTGTTTTATTTCTTATAAATTTTGATGTTTTCAATATTGATTTTTAAATTTTCAGCCCTGGCCGGTTTGGCTTAGCGGTTAGAGCATTGGCCCACGGACTAAAGAGTTGTGGGTTCGATGCCGGTCAGGGCACGTACCTCGGCTGCGGTTCGTCCCCAGCCCTGGTTGGGGTCCTGCAGGAGGCAACCAGTCGATGTGTCTCTATCACATTGATGTTTCTCCCTCTCTCTCCCTCTCTCCCACTTTATCTGAAGATAAATAGAAAAATGTCCTCAAGTGAGGATTAAAAAAAACAACAACTTAATATTCTTTCATCTTTAAAAAAAAGGTATAATTAACACATAATATTTTAGTTTCAGGTGTACAATATAGTGATTCAATATTTGTATATATTATGAAATGATCATCACAGTAAGTCTAGTTAATATCTGTCACTGTACATAATTACAAAAATGTTTTTCCTGTGATGAGAACTTTTAAGATCTACTCTCTTAGCAACTTGCAAATATGCTATACAGGAGTATTTACAGTTACCATGCTTTATATTGCATCCCCATAATTTATTTATTTTATATCTGGAAGTATGTACCTTTTGTTCCCCTCCACTCATTTTGCCCATTCTCCACCCCCTATAATACTAATTTTTAAAAACAACTTTTGGGCACTGGCCAAATAACTCAGTTGGTTAGAGTATCATCCTGATACACCAAGGTTGATCCCTGGTCAGGGCACATACAAGAATCAACCAGTGAATGCATAAATAAGTGGAATGACAAACAGATGTTTCTCTCTCTCTTAAAAAATTTTAGAAACAACTTTTGGGATAAACTGTCAACAAATCTCTGGATTTTCTTGTAAAAGTTTCCCAGTATTATATATTATAAAAGCAGCAATATGCTAAATGACAGAATGTGAAAAGTAGAAATAATCTCTTTGGGGATGATGGCTGAAAATCCGTTACCCTGTTTAGTTGGGATAGCTTACCTTTGTTTCTTTGAACTGGTAATCTTTAAGCTCCTGAACAACCACAAATAGATTATCAACTGATCTCAGGCAATGAACCTGGTGAGAGGAAAAAAACGTTAGGAACAAATTTCTGAGAAAGCTTTTGAATCACACAAACTATTGACATTTAATAAAAATTATGTACAAAGACTTTAAAGCCTCCAATATAGAAGCCTCTTCTTATCTGTGGTTTTAGTTACCCATGGTCAACTATTGTCCAAAAAAACATGGAAAATTCTAGAAATAAAGAATTCTTAAGTTTTAAATTGCATGCTGTTGAACAGCTTGATGAAATCTCATGCTGTCCCACCCCAGACATAAATCATCCCTTTGTCTAGTGCATCCATGGTGTATATGCTAACCACTCAGTAGTCACTTAGTAAACATGTCATGGTACCACAGTGCTTATGTTCAAGTGACCATTATTTTACTTAAGAATGGTCCTAAAGTGCAAGAGTGGTGATATGCCCAAGAGAAGCTGTGAAGTGCTTCCTTTAAGTGAAAAGGTGAGCCCAGCCAGTGTGGCTCAGTGGATTGAGCGTCATTCCATGGACTGAGAGGTCCTGGTTGGATTCCCAGTCAAGGCACGTGGCAGGGTTGTGGGCTTGATCTCCAGTAGGGGGTGTGCAAGAGGCAGCTGATCGATGTTTCTTTCTCATCAATGTTTCTCTCTCTCTCTCCCTAAAAAATCAATAAAAATGTATTTTTTAAAAAAGGGTTAAAGTTCTCCACTTAATAAGGCAAGAAAAAACTGTATGCTGAGGTTGCTAAGAAATACAGCAAAAATCAACTTTATATTCATGAAATCACCTAATTCATAAATTAAACTTTACTGAATGCATAGAAAAAAACAGTATATATAAGGTTCTGGGGGTCTTGGAATGTGTCTCCATGGATTTGGGGTGGGAGTCTACTGTACCTATAATTTGTATTTAATTTTTTCTTCATTTCCCCAGTCTCCCATCTTTATGGTTATCTACCAATGTCTATTCATCTGGACAAAGGAAGGACAGATGGAAGAATAGAAGTTTAGTGTGTTATGTGTGCAACACAGGTTTGGGGAAAAAGGGAAAGATAAAGACAGTCAAGTAAGGCATTACCATATTTCCCTCATGGCTCTCTGGGGTGCACTGTATACTGCAGTGGTTAAGAGCATAGGGCTTGAACTCCAGCTCTATGATTACTAGCTGAACAACCCTAGGCAGATTACTTATTACTAAGCCTAATGACTAATGAGTATAATAACAATGCTTATCTTCACAAAGCTCCTGAGGTTATTAACTAAAATACTGGATGAAAAATACTTGCTTACCAAATTCATCCCACACATCATTGCGGGGAGGGGGGGTGTCTACTATATGCCAGACACTAAGAGCTTGGGAGACATTAAAAAAAAGACAACCCCTGTTCTTATGTTGCTTAAATAGTGATGAGATATAGCTTAGCTTTTTTATTCTAGTGGGATGGCAGTTTACTAACCTTCACTTCTCACCTACAGTGATTCCTAATTACTTTTTTTTTTTTTAGTATTTTTTGATACAGATTCAAAAAAAAACAAAACTCTCCTTTTATTCTTCACCCCCAAAGTCTAAATTTCAGCTAGATGCTGAAGTAAATAATTTCAAAGATGTGTAGCAGATACCCAGAATTTCTTCATGTGACAAAGAATTCTTCTGGTGAATTCATCTTCAGGAAATATTAGGATCACTTATAAAAATAAAACGAACCTACCAGTCAAATTTACAAATCAGTACCCAATACAAAAATACAATAGAAAATATCCATAAAATGACCTATTTAGAAAATATTTTAAATATTGCTTCATTCAAACCTGAGCTAGACTTTCCACTGAAATGTCAAAATATATCTTGCCCCGATCTTTGCTGATTTTGCACGATGACCTCAGTTTCTCTCTCACTTCATCTGCAGCTGTTTGCTCAAAACCAGTAGGTACAGTGGCTCCAATAGTGACTCGAAGATGCTCAGACTCACTTCTGGGGTCACTTTCTGTCACTTTTATAGACATCTGGTTCTCATGAAGGTTCACATGCAGAAGCTGGTTAGTGGCTTCTTGAACATCAGACATGTTGGCAGTGCTTCCAAGATCCTTGATAAAGTCTCTTCAAAAACAGTAAAGAAAAGAAAAAAAAATCTCCAAACATTATCACCTCTTGTTTCAACTATAAGTAAAAACAAAAGAACAAGGGAACACAACTGATATTGCCATACTCAGTTAACACACCTGAATCAGTCTTCACTAAAGATAAAAGGATTGAGTAACATGGGCACAGATGTAAAATACATTATTAAACAAGCAATACAGATACTATGGAAGAAAATGAGAAAGACAAACAGAATTTCCACAGCATGTGATGTTAGGTTTGGGATCATTTGTATTGATAATAGCCATTTCATAACTACAATAGTTAACAACCCCAAAACAGAGTCTACTAGAGCACATTCAAATACATTTCTGCATCTTGTCCTTTGTAAGCTAGCAGTTAAGAACATGGGGATTTGGAATTTCAGACATGGACTGAGTTCTTGCCCCCACCATTCATAGATTAAATGGCCTAAAACAAATTCTCCTATGCCTCAATTTCCTCATCTGCAAAATGAGGATTAAACAATACCTCTCTCCTAGAGTTGCTGGGAGACTTCGATGGGAACAGCATACTGCCAGGCCCATGACTGAAATTTGCTAATCGGGTATCTATCTTCCTTCCGTGAAGGAGACAGTGATTCATGGGTTTAAAAATGATAAAATGAAAATGTACTGACTACAAATATTTGAATGCCTAATACTGGCCAGGCTCTGGGATCATGGCTGGGCATCAAGAGAGATCTGTGAAATATCCGAAATAGCAAGCCAAATATCTAGTACCTGCACATGGGTGGGGGTGGGGTTAGAGAGGTGGGACGTGGGGATCAATAGCTCTCACCAGATTTTCAAAGGTTTTTCGACCTAAAACAACTTAAGTAGGCACCGAGTACCTACACTGTCCTTGTTCTGTAATCCAGGACAAAGGACAGTTTCTAACACTAATAAGTCTATTCCTGCCCTGAAGGCGCTCACAATCACTGTGCGTAATACCTCCAGCTTCTAAATAAGGAGGCTGAAGCCCGTAAATGGACGTATCCTGCCCGAGGTCAGAGAGCCAATTAGTGGCGCAGGCTGGAATGAAAACCTGGTCTCCCGACACCCACCCGCAGGGTCCTCGTCACAGGACTCCCGGGAGGCGGTAAAGGCCAGGGGGAGGCAGCGAGAAGGATTCCACAATGACACCAGGCCGAGGTCCAGCCCAGCACCAGCGAGTATCAAAATGAAGGTCGCCCGTCCCTCCCAAGGGTTAGCGGTCCACACGCAGCCACTCCCATTCACCGCCCGGTTACCGGCCAGTGGCGCAGACCCTTCCGCCTCCAGCACGCCGCCGACGCAGCGCGCTCAGGTCACGCAGCCGGAAGCCGCCTCGACAGCCCCGGAAACGGAAGTCAGGCGGCGCTGTCACAGCGGCTCGGAGCTAGGGCCCGGCCCCGGCACAAGGTCGTGGAGAGAACATGCGCATAAGGGTGTGGGCTCAGTGGCGTCTAGTGTCTAGTATCCGCTCTTATTGGGGACATTATCCTCCACGCTGAACCTGTAGAATCCTGTAGAGTCGCTGGCGTGGCCGCCTGTCATGCAATGGCTAGCATTTATAGAGGACTAATGTCCGTGCCAAGCACTGAGTAAGCGCTTCACATGCGTCATTTCATTTGTTCCAACAACGGCTTGATGTGGCCCCTGCTGTTCCCACACACTTATTCGTGGTTTTGTTTTCCATGGTTTCACTTACCTGGGTGAACCCTGGTCTGATAATAATATATAGAAAAATCCAGAAATAATAAGTTTTTTCTCGTCTTTATTGATGTTAGAGAGAGAGAAACTTAAATGAGAGAGAACATTGATTGGTCACCTCCTGCATGCCCCCCACTGTGGATGGGGCCCACACCTGGGCATGTGTCCTGACCCGGAATCCAACCTGAGACCTCTTGGTGCATGGGTCAACGCTCAACCATTCAGTCACACAGGCCACACAGGCCGGGGGAAATAATAAATAAGTTTTAAGTTGCAGGCTGTTCTGAGTAGCATGATGAAATCTTGTGCTGCCTGCCCTGACTTATTTTCCCAGGATAGAAATCATTCCTTTGTCCAAGGTATCTACACTGTACATACAGTAAGTACAATAAAACATTTTGAGAGAGACCACATTCACATCACTTTTATTACAGTATATTGTTATAATTGTTATATTTTATTGTTGCTCACTGTTAATCACTTACTGTGTCTTATTCAAAAGTTAAATCTTATCATAGGTACATATACATAGAAAAATACATTATATAGGATTCGGTGTTGTCTGTGGTGTCAGGCAAATATTGGGGTCTTGGAACATATCCCCCCTGGAAAAGGGGGGAACTACTGTATTGCCTTCACTATTTTTACCCAATTGCACTATTGTTTACTTACTATATTTTTAAAATATATATTTAACTTGTTATTTTAGGAGGAAACCTTAAAACTCAACAACAGAAAGATAACCCAATTTAAAAATGGGTGAAGGTTTGAGAATCAGAAAAAAAAAAAAAGGGAGGAGACTTGAATATTTCTCCAAAGAAGATATATATATATATATATATATATATATATATGGCCAATAATTACATGAAAAGATGCTCAACATCACTAATCATTAGGGAATGCAAATTAAAACCACAATGAAATACCAATTTGAGTGGATAAATTTTTTAAAAAGCGGACATTTCCAAGTTCCAGTGAAGATGTGGAATGATGGAACATTTTATACGTTGCTGATGGGAATGCTTTTAAAATGGTACAGCCACTTTGGAAAACAGTTTGACCTTTCTCAAAAAGTTAAACATGGAATTGTCACATGACCCAGCAATTCTACTCAGGTATATATCCAAGAGATTTCAAAACAGATGTTCAAACAAAAACTTGTACATAAATGTGTCTAACAGCATTTTTCATAATAGCCCCAAAGTGGAAACAACCTAAATGTCCATTAGCAGATGAATAGATAAGCAAATGTGATCTATCCATACAATGGAATATTATTAGCTCATAAAAAGGGATAAAGTACTGATATATACTACAACATGGATGAACCTTGAAAATACTATGCTAAGTTTAAAAAAGCTACACCCAAAAGAACACATATAAGATTCCATTTGTAAGAAATGTCCAGAGTAAGCAAAATTGTAGAGACAGAAAGTAGATTAGTGGTTGCTTAGGGCTGGGAGGAATGAGGAGATTGGGGATGATAGCTAAAGGGTATGGGGTTTCTTCTTGGTGTGTTGGAACATTCTAGAATTAGATGGTGATGGTTCCACAACATTGTGAAGAGACTAAAAAACACTTTGAATTGTACACTTCAGAATAATTAAAATGGTGTTTTATGTCATGTGAATTTTGTCTCAAAGGAAACTTTGGTCTCATGGGAAATTCATCTGCAGTTTTCTCATATACAAAATGCTACTTCTTTCATAAGAGTTGTTGCAAAATTTAAATGAGATTAAGTAGTGACAGGCACATAATTAAAATTGATGGTACCCTTAAAAATAAACACAATGAATGTTTCTGCAAATGGAAAAAATAAAATAAAATAAACACAATGAGCCCTGGCCCATGTGGCTCAATTGATTGGGTATTGTCCCCTCAGGGCACATGCCTGGATTGCAGGCTCGATCCCCAGTAGGAGGCATGAAGGAGGCTGCTAATCAATGTTTTGCTCTCACACTGATATTTTTCTTACCCTCTCTCCCTTCCTCTCTCTAAAAATAAATAAATACAAAGAAAACAAAACAAAGTTATTAAATTCTAACCAGATACTATTTCCTACAAAAGGCTCTTAGTAGGCTCTAAATGTAAAATCCATTTTCTATTCCTAGGGATAAGTTATCTAGTGTTAGAGACAAGCTCACACTAAATGAAACCTTCTTGACAAAATGACAGGAATTTACAAGAATCTTCAAGATTCTCTTCACCTGATTCAGTGTTATTTAAAAAAATTTTTTTTTCTTTATTAATTTTAAGGAGCGAGAAAGAGAACATCAATTGGCTGCCTCCTGCACACCCTGAACTGGGGATCAGGCCCACAACCTGGGCATGTGCCCTGACCGGGAATTGAACTGGCAACCTCTTAGTGCATGGGTTGATGGTCAGCCACTGAGCCACACCGGCTGGGCTGATTCAGTGTTATTTTATTTTATTTTTTTATCCTCACCCGAGGACATTTTGCATTTATCTTCAGATAAAGTGGGAGGGAGAGAGGGAGGAAGAGAGAGAAAGAAACATTGATGTGAAAGAGACACATCGACTGGTTGCCACCCACACGACCCAACCCAAAGGGGCAGGGGGGAACAAACTGCAACTGAGGTAGGTGCCCTTAGTGGGAACCGAACCCGGGACTCTCTGGTCTGAGGGCCGACACTCTAACCGCTGAGCCAAACCGGCCAGGGCTCAGTGTTATTTTTTTAAAATCTTCATTGTTGTAAGTATTACAGATTTCCTCCTTTTTATTCCCTTTATACCTTCCTCCCGGCAACCATCCCCCGGTGCCCTCACCACCACTTTCACCACACTGTTGTCTATGACCATTGATTATGCATATATGCAGGTAAGTTCTTTGGTTTCTCTTTTCCCACCCCACCCCCACCTTCCCTCTGAGGTTTGTCAGTCTGATACAGTGTTATTTAATGCATACTTTCATACTATTTAAAATTATATCCATAAACAGGTCTCACGTTTGGGGAAACATTGTTCTAAAGATACATTATCTGCCAGTAGTATCACATTAGATCTGTTACTTAGCAGAATTTATTGATCATCTCTGGACACCGCCCAAATGCCCATCAATAGATGAGTGGATAAAAAAACTGTGGTACATTTACACAGTGGAATACTATGCAGCTGTAAAAGTGAAGGAACTCTTACTTTTTTGACAGTATGGATGGACCTGGAGATTATTATGCTAAGTGAAATAAGCAAGACAGAGAAAGACAAATACCACATAACCTCACTTATATGTAGAATCGAATGAACAAAATAAACTGATGAACAAAAATATAAGCACAGGTATGGATGTATGGAATAGACTGACAGAGGTTGGGAGGGGGTATGGAGGGGACTGAATAAAAGAAGGTGAAGAGATTAGCCAAATAACATATATGCATAGCCCACGGACACAGACAGCAGTGTAATGATGACCAGAGGGAGGGGGGCTAGGTGGAGGCGGGTAAAGGGGGGAGAGGAAATGAGGACATCTGTAATAGTGCCAACAATAAATTTAAAAAAAGAATTTATTGATCATCTATTACATGTCAGGCACTCTTTTAGGCACTGGGGATACAGCAGTTAAAAAAATAAGTTGCCCTGGCTGGTTTGGCTCAGCAGTTAGAGCATCGGCCCACAGACTAGAGAGTCCCAGGTTCGGTTCCCGCTAAGGGCACGTACCTCGGTTGCAGTTTGTCCCCGGCCCAGTTGGGGTTGTGTGGGTGGCAACCACTCAATGTGTCTCTCTCATGTTGATGTTTTTCTCTCTTTTTCTCCCTCTCTCCCTCCCACTCTATCTGAAGATAAATGCAAAAATGTCCTTCTGTGAGGATAAAAAAAAAGTTTCTGCCCAGCCAGTGGTGGTTGAGCATCGACCCATGCACCAAGAAGTCACCAGTTCAATTCCTGGTCAGAGCACATGCCTGGGTTGTGGGCCCAGTCCCCAGTGGGGGGCATGCAAGAGGTGGCCAATAGATGTTCTCTCTCACTGAGGTTTCTCTCTCTACTTTTCCCTTCCTCTCTCTAAAATCAATAAAGAAAAAAAATAGTTTCTAAACCTCTGACCGCCTACCTAGAGCTTATATTCTAATGGAAAAAAAACAAACAATATATAAAATATATGCATAACATTCCCATGATGTTCAGCAATATGGGAAAAAATAAGCAAGGTGAGGGGATAGTACTGAAGAGATGGAGGAAAATGTCTTTCATATCAGGTGGTTAGAAAAGACATCTTTTTAAGGTGACAAAGCAGAGCCTGAGGAAAATGAGAGAGCAATCCATTGGATATATGGGAGAAGAACATTCTAGGAAGAGGGCAGGGACATGTTCAACAGAGGCTAGGAACAGCCAGGAGGCCAGTGTGGTTGGGAAGCAGTGAATGAGGGAGAGAAGTAAAAGATAAGATGGGGTGGGTACATAATATAGGCCAATGTTCTACAAATTATCACTATGAGTTACTTTTATAAAGGACCACTCTGACTGCTGTGTGGAGAATGGTAGTGGGCAGGAATGGAAGCAGATTTCAGTGGTCCAAATAAGAGATGATGATGCCTCAAATCGGGATATTAGAGGTGGGTGTGGTGAGAATGATTAAATTCTGGTGTATGTTGATGG